CCCAAACGATGTCTTGTATCTGGTAAGATAAGATTCCTGTTAGTTTCTCTTCTGATAAACATTCCCAGAAAAAAAAAATCTCAATTTCAGGTTACAAACACCTCCACACCCAGCAGCAAAATTCAATGTAAACAAACATTTAAACACGATATAACGAAGGGAAATCAAGTTGTTTGCAAACAAACAAGAGCCCCGTTCGATGGCATTAAGTATCTTATCATCATCCGGAATATTTAGAACAAAAGCCAGCTACTCGGCTAAGCAGAACACGTAAGCCGTAAAAAATATACAAATTCCAGAAACACATACGTAATAATACGTTTCAGAACTTTAAGACCATTTTTTTTGATAAAGTAGCAAACGGGTCTCTCACAAAAAAACGAAGCTTACCAGGCAGGGGATGATCTCTTCTAATACTTCTTTAGAAATTATTAAATAGAATAGAAATAGAGTCTAGAATAGAGATACTACTGTGTAGTACTATTTATATATCAAAATATTGAAGGGCCCTCTTTTGTAATTTCAAGTTTAACCAGATTTGGCGTGTGTCAAGTTCAACTTTAAATGTGAATAAAGTATTATATTTACGTGAAAATCCCTAGATATTGCCCACACCTGTATCTCAGTATTTTGTCTACCGGCATTAATAAATAAGCAAAACAAAATGACGATATAAATCCGCCTTAGAATCAAACACATGATACTGAAAAGCCGCTGTCGGCAGACTGACAAACGAGCCCAAGACGGTGGCATCAAGGGGGAGGTAAGTGGCAAGTGGTAACCGGAGAGCGGACATTGCCAGCTCGACATGGCGACATGAAATGACATAATCCGTAACCGTGACACTTGAGCCGATTTGTGTGTGAACCTGGGGACAGGCCGCAGAAAGAATGCTGACTCTGTTGCCGATCTGTATCCGTATCCGAGTTCGAGTTCGAGTACGAGAACGAGTCCGGCTTTTCCCATTGCTCTGCTCGAGCCGGTCAACAATTAAGGCATTCTGGCGACTGTGGTTTTCAATAATTACTTACTGTAGTGGAAACAAAAACAAAGGTATCTTACCATGGCGGAAGTCGAAGCCGTTTCGCACCGCCTTTGTTGGCGGGGAAACCAGTTCGGGCTCGGAATTCACTGTCTCCCGCGCAACTAGTCAAACTCAATCAGGCCCAATCAATCGTCAACTTTGTGTTCCGCAAAATGTGAACAGCTTAGAAAACATCGGGTCTACGCAAATAAATTACAAGTGCTCACATGGGTGGGCTGACGCCCATAGGCACCGCCGATTGGGAAGACTATATAATATCGAATATATATATGAAATATGCCTGGCAGGCAATCAATATGCAAAACGGAAACGATTCTAATAAAGCAACACTCAAAAGTCGATGATTTGAATGGGTTATGAGTGCAGCCAGCGATTTGATTAATGATCGGGCGGGAGTGTTTAATTTCGCATAGGAAGTGGAAGTGAGATTCGGGAACTACAGCATTTTAATTTATGTATTCTCACTGCGAATCACACCTAGAACGGAACCAAATTGCGTTTCTCGACAGATCCGGTTCATCAGATATTGATTGGAATATCCCAGATTAATCGAGACTCGAAATTGTAAAAATTATAGAAATTTGTTACCCTCGAAAAACCAGTTGGATAAGGATTCATTAAGGGGGTCTTATATTAATTTATTAGTTATAAAATGGCAGATTTAACTTTAATATAGAAATTCCCATAGGAATGTGGGTTTATCTCCATGAATTCTAGGACTTTCATTTCAAAATTCTATTCAATCAGTTCAAAAATATTTTCGTTTTACTATCCATTTCCAAATGCGCATTTTATTTAATTGGTCTTCTCTGGCCAACCCTAAATATATTTGTATATTTTACTTATAGAATTTATTGAGCATTTTGGCCAGACCAATATTTTTTGGCAGCTGCCATAGGATGATTTTGGCACACTTCAATCCATGCCATAAATGTGTAATAAACATTTTACCGATGCTCTGTTCGATACGGAAAAATGTGTATTTATTAAATCATCGATTGTCGACAATAAATCAAAATTCGTACAGCGAGGGTGGAGAGTGCTTGATGTCTCGAATGATCGGAACACTTGGATGGATCTCGAAGTGCCTTTGTTTGGATCTCAACGCACAGATCTGTGTTGTGTATACTTATAATTATGCCTGTATAGATTTATATTTATTTGTGTAATTATGACATTTTTTCACGCCACGACTTGGGCAAACAAATAACAGTAAGCCCCTTTGTCTGGGCCAAGTAAAATTCAGTGAAGTCTCGGGCAGAGACAAACAAAAGATCATAAATAAAATCGCATAAAAAGACAGCATGACAAAAAGCACCTCATAAACGATATATACACAATTGCATATACATATGTTTATTTAAATATATTAAACGGACGAGATTAAAATATATTCTCTGTCCTGTGACAAGCCTCCTTTTGGCAGCGAAAATATGTAAGTGACTCAGAGACTTCCTCGTTCGGCAGTGTATGTGGGTATGGAAATGTCACTGGAAATCAATAATAAAAAAGTTAAAAACCAGATGCAATGGCTTTGCGTAGATACGCGCTGGGAATTTGCATTTCCGTGTTGGTTTTTTATTTATTTATAAATTATTAAGTCATTTTATTTGCACTTCGTTTTCCCATTTTCTCCTTTCTTCTTATTTTATATTTTGCACTTTTTCTTTTCACCGCTTCCTGGCAGATTTAATTGATATACGCGAATGCAATTTTCCCGGGTCCCGCCCAGTTTTGTTTTTTTTTTTTAGGAAAAGCAAGCAACAACAAAGTGGGTAAAGAATTTGATATTTGTTTAATTCCCACTATCTACCAGCCGGGCCCCAATCACGTGGCCTAAAATTTATGCACAACTAGCAAAACATCATGATAAATGGCTTTGTCAATAAAAATTATAGCAACGCTTTGTGCGGCATTTCGCTGAATTGCGTCAAAATAGAAACTGAAAAGTTAATCCGTATTTATTATGCTATCAAAATTTGATTGAGCGTATCACACTAAAGGTATTAATTTGTAGATTTGCAACTAAAAATCGAATGAAAATAATTACGCTGCTTTTTTACTACGATTTCAGTATAATTCTTTGCTTGAATCTGTTCCTGTTGGGGCTTTATTTCTTGCCCGCAAAGTATTAAGTATGTCAATTTTTGACTTTAACATTCTAATTATAATTCGCCTTTGCCTGCTCATTTTACGCATTTTTTGTGGCTATTTATAAAAAACATAAACAAAAAGAAGATCACGCGACAAAGGCACCACCAACAACCTGAAGAGATCTGAGCCAGAGATTATCTCAAAAGAAAATTAGCATCGTTTCTCTTTCGAAGAGAGATGCTGCAGTCGCCACAACGTCTAGTAAACGATTTTTTTTCAAACTGGTTCGAATCTGGATTAGCATAAATTTATTTTCTTTTTGTGAAAATTTCAGTTGGAAACTCATTACTCAAAAAACGAAAGAACGTGTCTAAGGAGAACATTTAACCTTTTTAAATTTGATAAAAATTGTTTGTTATAATTTAGGCAATTGCTTATACCCTAAATGCATTATTTTTATTTACTTTAAAGTATGATTGGAATATTGGTATTTTATTGGTTAATAACTAAAGCATTATTTCTGGTCCGGAAACCAATAATATTTATAATTTAACATTTTATGCTTTATTTAGAAATATTTCCCTATAAAATATTTTTCTACGAAAAGAATGAACAATACGGAAATATTAGTAACCTTTAGAAACGATTTTAATGGAATTGAAGTTATTAAGATATACCAAACATAAATATACCGATTTTAAAATAATTTAATTTTAATTCCCTTGGGAATGTCATGCTAAATAAGACTCCCAAATTAATCAATTTAAACCCTTAACTTAAGTAACAATTGCAGATTTATATAAAACATATGCGCATAAAGTTTCGCGACTTCCAAAAACTAGGACTGTGGCACAAGTTAAACTATTGTTTTCTTTGGATTTTCCTTTTAATTTACGAGTATGGCAACTTTTAGGGGGTCAAGCCCGTAAAGGCAAATGAGCTTTTGGGCGGGGAAGGAGGCGAACCAACTGTATATGGGCGGTGCGAGTGTGTGTGTATGTGTTCATTACTTTTTCATATACCGTTGCCTTTTAATTCTCCACTCAAATGGCATGGCAGTAGAAGAAGAGGCAGAAGAAGAAGGGCCATAGACAAAATCAGAAAATCCAAAAAAAAAATTCAGAAAATGACAAAGCGAAGGCAGAAAACCTGACGACTTGAACTTTTGTTTCTTTTTTTTTGTATATATTTTTTTTGTAACTATAAGCAGTTAGTGCTGCCTCTTCTTCACCGCCTGTGCTTGCTACTGTCATTTTTGTTGTTTTATTGTGCTGATGACCTTAAATTAGGCGTAGGTCTTTCGTTTTTTTTTTTTTTTTTTTTTTTTTGGTTTGTGTTCGTCATTGTTGGCCAGGTTTTTTTTGTGTTGTCTTTTTTTTATATGCGCTGGTCAGCTGTTTGGCTTCTTGCCTTTCGGTTACTTTGGCACAATGGCCATAAGTAATAACAAAAAGATATTACACGAATGTCATGACCTGCGGCAGGCGAGAATGCCAAAGAATATAAGAATAATAACAATAATTTGGTTCTATTTCGCATATAAAAGTGAATGCGAGCCAAAATGAAATGACCAAGAACAAAAGGAAACACACAGAGGTGGGGGAAGATGGGGATAATGGAGAACGGTAAAGTAAAGTAAGACTAGCCAACGACTAAAATTAAAACCGTTCACTGCACAAAGAAGTTGGCGAAAAAAAAGACCGCAAGCCGCGCCTAAAACAATCGCAAAAGAGAATAGAAAACCGAGAAGAGGAAAAAGAGAGAGAGAGAGAGATTAAAGTTTAACCCCAGCTTTTGGATAAAAAAAAGTCTATAACGTTTCAGAGCGCAGCAATTATATTTTATAGAACTTTTTCACTACCTTATTATTTGGTCTTTTTCCCCGGTATTTAGCACTTTTCCTTATTTAATTGTATTTATCAAACGGTTTTCCTTGGTTTGGTTAGTCACATTTCTCATTGGTATCAATTGCACTGAATTGCCACTGTATTTGTTTAATATTTGTATTAAAAACAGCACTCGCGTACAATTATGTATGATTTATAAACTTTTTCTTGGCTTTATAGCTATTCCTTCACTTTATGAAGAGCAGATAAGTTGGTGTATTCTGTAGGTAATTTTCGATTAGAAATATTTAAATTAAAAAATTAAACACTTATTTATTGGAGTTGAACGAATTTTGTGGGTATTTTGTGTGATAATTATTACAATAATTACTTTTTCCTTTAAGATCTGTTGACATTTCATTAAATTTAATAGTTGGACAGGGGCAAATATATTTTTAAATAAATTTTGTTTAATGTTTAAGACATTATTAAAAATTTATTTATTAAAAATGTAATTTATTACAAGTTAATTTTCTTTACAATATATGCTTATTTCAGAGGTTCAAAGAATCTCGTAAAATCTGCAGAAAATTAATAAATATTACTGGAAAATTCATGTTAATTATGTGGGAATTTAATGGGTTAATTTCATAGCTGCAAACGGACTGCCATTATTTAACGGACTTTAATGACTGAACAATCTGAATTGGGCACAGAGAAATAATCAACAGACTGCACATCGCACACACATAATCAGCCACACAAAACTCGATAATATATATATTTTTGTTAAAATAATTTTTACAATATTTCTCGCGGTTGCTGCACATTTATCTCGTTATTTGGCACAGACTGTTGAAGCGCGCGCGCGTTTTTATTATTTGTATTTCTCCGTTAATTTATTGCAGTAAAAGAGAATCTGTGTTTCGATTTCGTTTGGCGCGGACTCTCGGCTCTGCGTTGCTTTAACTTTATTTAATTATTTTGGGTGCGAGCTGCTGGGCGTTGCGTTCCGTTCGTTGAAAATGGAAAATTCAAACTGATCGGAAATTTGTGCGCTGCCTCAGAAAGTCGGGAGCCGAAAACGATCGCTCTGCCGACGCCTCGGAATTATGCTTTTCGATCGCGGCGCAGTCGCAGCTGGGGAGAGCGAGCGAGAGAGAAAAAAGCACTCGCTCATTTTGGCTATATCTCGCTCTCCCGCGACATGTGCTGCAATAAACTTGTTTGTTTTATTTTTTGTTGTTGTTGTTTTTGCTGCAGGCTAAAAACCTGCTTGGGGCTTTTGGCTTATTTCCGTTTCCATATGTGTGAGTTCGCAATGTTTAGATACATGTTGCCAGCGACCAGAGTTGGGGCCACTTAAAGCTCGAGTTACCGACTTAATACCCTTTTCTTTGAGTGCTTTTACATATTTGTAGGTCCACAAGTCAATAAACTCTGATAATGTATTATGATCTATTTAAAAGTTTCTTCATATTCAATTTCAAACTTCTCAACATATTTAGAATTTTTGTTGTACATATTTATGCGTATATTTTGATGAAAAGTTTTTAAAATTTAGAAACAAATTGAATCTTGTTATTTTGATTATGTTAACATGTTATTTTTATTATATGTAATATATTTTCTGTCTAAAGAATCGTATATCTTAGTCTATGAAAGATTGGTCTTATTTTCGATTTAAAGGTAGCTTGTAAAAACTGTAGCATACTTTCTGGCATACTTAAAGCGGATTTAAAAGGAAGTGCGATGATCTGTGCCAATTTTAATTTGTGTTTTAACTACTTTAACTAGATTAACTGGAGTTTTAAATAATACAAAAAATGCATTTAAAAATAAAATCAATATAAAATCAATCGTAAACGTATTACTATTTTCCCAAGGGTAATAAAAATTCGTCTTATCATTAATTTTGATTTGCTTTCCTGCTTTGTTATTGCTTCTAATGTTGGTGCGCATGTGCAATGAACTTGTTTTGAATTGCAATTGCGATACACTTATTGTTGCTACTTTGTTTTGTTTTTTTGGAGGTTAGTCAGTTTGCGGCGACTTTGTAATTTCATTTAAATTACTCATACGCCATGTGACGCCGCCGTAATTATTTGATTTCGCCCGAAGCCTCTCGGTGGCGAATGCATTTCCTCAACTTTAATGTAGGTCACTGCTGAGGGGGTGAAAGTGCCTGCAATTACCTGGCGAATTACCCGTTGCTGCTGACACCGAAGAGGAAATTACCACCAAGGTCGATCGAAGCCCAGGTTTGCCCAGAGAATTTTTTTATTTTACCTTAAGGTGAACTGCATTTCATCGCCGGAGAAAGAGAGAGAGAGAGAGAGGGAGAGAAAAATAGAATTTCCAATTCAACCTTGGGCAATTCTTTCGCTTAGCTGGCTGACAGCAGCAACGGCGGCGGCGGCTGACTTTTCCTCTTTCTTTTGACTCATTTAAAACGCATGACTTGGCTCAAATTGCAAATTATGCAAATTTCAAAATACACAACTCGACGAAATCAGAAAAAGTGCAACATCACTTTGTTGCCACTCGTTCTCCGCCCCCTCTTTGGGTCCCCCCTCGGCCCAGGTCCCCTTCTCGTTCTCTGTCTGCCTGCGCCTTTACAGTTTTTCGGACTCGGACGATTATAATGTGCAGCCTTCAATATTATTACACAATCATAAATTGTCTGAACTAAAATGTAAATGTTTTCGACTGCGCCTTGGGGGGCTATAAAAAACGCAATCGCGCGTATAGCCAAAGCTAGAGCTATGACTAAATCTATGGCTATGGTTTATGGACATGGCTATGTGACTATGGGAATGGATAATGCCGCACAAATCAGGGTCTCTAATCGAACCAGTCCCCCAGAGGGGAGGCACTGAAAAAACGTCGAAATAAATAATATCAAAATTGAGTTATTATTAGTATATTAAAATTCACAATTCAAATAACCTCTTTAAGTTATTTTATAAGCTCGTGGTCTCTTAAAGAATTTATTTTATTTCTTAACCTAAAAAAAACCCCCCTATAATTAATTCCTTGAACACGCGACCTCACCATTAAACAATAACAAAGGTGAATAAACCTGTATGAAGTATTTTGAATTTACACACCTCCCTCACTGCTTCCGTCTTGGACATCAACTTGAAATCTTAATTAGCTTAGGCGCCATAAAAGATCTACCATTTAATGTTTAGCCTTTGCAATTTGCAAAAAAGAAGGAAAAGTTTGTAATTAGCTTTTGTGGCTATTGGAATACTATAAAGTAGACAATGCCATTCACTTTAAAATTATAATTGGCAAATTCTTGTTTATATTTTATATTGCCTTGCAAAAATAGAACCGTATAGATATATTATTTTTAATGATTTGAGTGGATTTTATTCATGTTTGCTTACCGTTCAGTCAGAAGCATGAAACGCAGTGAAGGGGTCAATTCCGACCCTATAAATCATCTATATTCTAGATCAGAATCAACAGCCAAATCGATCTAGCTATGTTCAATCGAAAAATAAATTTTTGAAATTTGTTCAAAATTTCAAAATTTTATAAGGGGTTACATCATTAAAATTGGCAAAAATTGACAAAATTGAAATTCCTTAATTTTAAAACTTAATATGCAGATTTGTTAGCCCTATTAAAACACACACAGAAGTCTTTACCGAATTGAAACAAATACATTTTTGTATTAGTTATGATATTTCAAAATTGATTTATTTTACCCATAAATTCGAACCCTTAATTTGACTTCAAATTTTATCAGAACATTAAATACTTTATTCTTTCAGCTGAGCCTGTAGATATTCCAATTCTGTTTCGCCTGCATTTTCAATGTCCTGATTGTATAAATCTTTCCATTATATTTCCCTTTCCTTACTTCCTGTTTTCTCTGTGAAACATAACCCCTCAGTATCATTAACATAATAAACAAATTCATCGCAAACTTTCGTCGGACTGTCAAACTAAAAAGTACGTGGGCGAGAATATTCCCTTTTTTAAGGAGCTTCATTTAAATAACAAATGGCATACTCGCTGCTCGCTTTTTCGAAACCGATTGCAGCTTAAATATTTTTGCCATCCAACTGTCTGGGTTCCCAGTGCCCCGAGTGTTGAATATGCAAAGCCCGGCGCGGGCAGAAAGATTTACTTTTTAATTTTTTTCTTTACACTTGCCTCTCCCGCTTTTGTTGTTTTTACTTGTCTTCCCCTACGCCGGCAGCGTGTGACGGAAGGTAGTGCCGAAACCGAGCCAAAACCAAGTTTCTGGCCAGCAAATGTTTCGACGGCTTTTATTTTTGCTGCAGCTGCTAAAAATAGCAAAAGCCGCCACGGCAACATCAACACAGTGTTGTGCCTGCAAGTTGTTTGGCTTGCCAAATGGCGGCACGCGGCACATGATGGCCGGTGGTAATGGTGGTGGTGGTCCAGCAATGAAGAGGCTGGGGAAAAACGAGGAAAAACTGTGGAGAACCGGCTTGACAGGAAAATACAAATTTCGTTTTGGGTGAGGGAAAAATTCAAACGATTTTGTGTTGTCTTTGGAAAATGCATTTATTTTCGGCTTTCCAGTCCCCGAAAAGGGGGTTGGAGTCCCGGCTAGACGGTTCATCACTCGGCTGGCAGGCATTGTTTTCGCTTTTGTTTACTTTTCATTTCGCTATTTAATTGAATCAATGCATTAAAATCGAATTTATATGGATGCACTAAAGTCCCCTCGGACGCTGTGAATGAAATTTTGATTCGTTTATTGCCGTTGAGTTGGGTTTTGCGTTGTCCATTCGGCTTTTTCAATCGAATCTGTCGCTTTTGGGCGCGCCATTTGATTTTTCATATAAATAAATGTGCAACAAATTTGCAAAAAACAATTGCAAAAACGTGCCAGAATTTCTCCAAGTTTTCGAATGCTCTGCCATCGAGGTGGCGCAAAATGTTTATATCAAAACAATTGACTGGGATACTCTTAATGGGATTTAAATTGCAATGGGATCGGGTTGAACAATTTGTTTATGTTTCTGAGGAATTTTATCAGCTTGTTTACCAGGTTGCAATTGTAATTTTTTTGTTTTTAAAGGAAGGAGTATTTATTTCAGTTTTTAACAGTCAAATTCTTCTTCTTTGACCCTGCAGAAGAGCAACCCTTTCAACGCATTTATTGTGTTCGATTGAACTTGCTTTTTATATACCATATTATAATCATTTTTAAAGAACATTAAACTTTAAAAAACGGAAAGGAATAAGAAGATAAAATGTATTCTTAATTTAGATATGGATTCGAAACTCTGCAGAAAGTGAAAATACTTTACTTACTCTTGCAGAGTATTCTAGAAACTCCTAGGTAAATCGTATTAAAATATGCATTTATTGCAAACTGCTGTCACTAAGCTCGTTACTCAAACAGATTTCTGCTCTATTTTGAATTCCATTTTTTTTTTCAATAACAGAATGCGATTTTAATTAATGAATTTGTTCCATTCAAAAGCACTGTCAAAGGCTGCTGTACGATACATAAATTGTAGCTTTAACCCGATATTGAGATCCAGTTGGCAAAGGAAGTGACAAACCCATTGACATTTGCCACTCGGGGACTGTTCGAGGGGAATGGTGCCAAAACATTTGTCATAGCACATTTAAATATTCATCCATTATTGTCCGGCTGGTGGAGGGAATTCAATTTCGAGTCCAATTATGCGGTCAATCAATTTGTATTGCAACATGAAATTTGTAAACCAAAAAACGCAAACAAAAGGAGGCCCAGTCAGAGCCTGTTGTTGTTCTGCCCCCTACGGGGGGCATATGATTTATAATTTATTTACATGGCAAATAAAAATCGTAGAAAAAGTTTCGGCCATGTTATCAATTTTTTGCGTGTTTTCTCAACTGTCTTGGTAGCACACACATGGGGGGTGCCTTTAATTGAGGTCAATGTCAGGCGAAGTATACATTCTGCCTCCTTCTTTTCTTTTAATTTTTAACTCTCTGTGTGTGTATGGGTGTCATTATTTCGATATGGCCAAGACAAAGGTA